TCTGTTACGAAGGTTGCAGACCCAGCAAAATTCAATTCAGTTTGTTTATATAGCGCCAAGTCACAACAGAAGTCATCTCAGGGCACTGAACAGAAACATTCAGATATATATAAAGTAAGTTAATATTATTTATCTGAGGAGCAGACTGCATTGAGTTTAACTTCATTGCAGACTCATCTTGAGCAAGCATGAAGACAACAGTGGAAAGGACAAACTCCCTGGTGAGGAAGAAACGTTTCGCAGAACCAGGCTCAGGACAAGAGGCCATCTGCTTCGACCGGCTGGGTTTGATAGGAACAGATAAAACAATGGCAGGTCAAGAATCACATGTTAAGATAGAAATAATATCAAATGAAAACTATTCAATTTTAACAATTCATTTTTTAAAAATGAGGTCAACTTGTCCTCTAGTAGTCGAAGCCCATGGCAGCATAACAAGCTAACCCTAACTATAGGATTTATCAAAAAGGAAAGTCTCAATCCCAGTCTTAAAACTGGACAATGTGTCATCCTCACAGACAGAAATTGGAAGTTGGTTCCACAAGAGGAGCCTGATAACTGAAAGATCTTCCTCCCATTCTGGTTTTGGAAACTCTAGGAATCGCAAGCAAGCCTGCAGTCTGAGAGCGAAGTGCTCTGTTAGGAAAATATGGAACAATAAGATCTGTAATATAAGATGGATCTAGGTTGTTGAGAGCTTTGTAGGTTAGAAGTAAGATTTTGAATTATATTCTGGATTTGACAGGGAGCCAATGGAGAGAAGCTAAAACTGGAGAGATATGATCTCTCCTACTAACTCCAGTTAAAACTCTGGCAGCAACATTTTGGATTAACTGAATATGTTTTAAAGAAGTATTTGGACACCCAGATAACAAACCATTGCAATAGTCCAGTCTAGATGTGACAAATGCATGAACCAGTTTTTCTGCATCATTTTTAGATAAGATGTTTCTAATTTTAATGATATTACGCAGGTGGAAGAAGGCAGTTCTAGTAACATTTTTAATGTGGGGGATAAAAGACATGTCCTGATCAAAAATAACAACAAGATTTTTAACACTAGACCTGGAGGACAGATTAATGCCATCCAAGGAGGGAGAAAGACTGAAAAATTTATTCCTAAAATGCTCAGGTCCAAAAACTAAAACCTCAGTCTTGTCAGTATTCAAAAGCAGAAAATAACGGGTCATCCAGGTTTTTATGTCTTTAAGACATGCTTGTAGTCTAAGTAGCTGACTGGATTCATTGGGTTTCATGGACAAATATAACTGTTTATCAACAGCATAACAATGACAATTTATCCCATGCTGTTTAATAACTTTATCTAATGGAAGCATATATAAGGTAAAGAGTATTGGTCCAAGCACTGAACCTTGAGGAACTCCATGACTAACTTTGGTGTATGAAGAAGATTAATTATTTACATTTACAAATTGGAATCTATCAGATAGATATGATTTAAACCATTTTAGAGCCATTCCTGTAATCCAAATATCATATTCAAGCCTCTGTAGTAAAATATTGTGATCAACTGTATCAAATGCAGCACCGAGGTCTAACAGGACCAGTGTAGTAGACACAAGTCCATTGTCAAAGGCCATGAGAATATCATTAGTAACTTTTACTAGTCCTTTTTCTGTGCTATGGTGAGCTTTAAGCCTGGACTGTAAACATACCAAAAATACCTCTAATTTATTAGCTGATAGTGGTTTAACAGCTGTTTGTTCTAAAGTCTCCTTTCAAATCATTCAATGCTTGCTTTTGTCCAGAGCCAATTAGAAATCGATTTGTGCCTTTACTGTGCCAGATTTGTGCACACATGCTATAATCAGGAGTGTATGAGTGCTTTAACGTGGTTGCTGATTTTCTTTATGTGCAGACATGAAGGAAGAACAAAGTTTTATATTGGCAGGCTTTGTTTCTCACCTGTCACTGAAACCAACAAACCTCAAGAGACAATGATCAGAAACGGATGTGGCTGAAAACAGAATCAGCAACAAGATAGTCTTGTTTCTGCCAGATAGGGTGGTTGTACTATACCTTGCCTTGCTTAACACACTGCTGTTTTTTTTTAATTGTTCATAACCGTCTGCAGAGTAAAAAGACCAATCTTGCCTTTAAAATATCAGTCAAAGTGAAAACTGAAGCAAAAGGTTCCCATGAGTTAAAAACGCACATGATTTAGGAATGCTACTTAAATTAGATTTTGAAATGATAACGTGATTAGGATGTTTGCCTAACCAGGACGAAAAGAAAGATTGTGTAATTCTGGTTGTAGGCTTCAAATTTGCATGAAATGCACATCTTTTTTTTTTGTAAATCTGATATAAGACACCAAGAGATAACTTCTTTTTTAATGCAGGGCCAGTTCAAAGTCCAGTTGAATCGTTTGATACTGAATCAATCTGTCTACGACCAATATTAAAGACTTCAGAGGACAACAGCTGTGTGCAGGAACCACATTCCTCTCCTGACCTTTTCCTTCTCTCTTATTTGTGTCTTTTCTAGTACTGTATGAGGGCACTTTCTTTCTCCCTCTTCCCTCTTTCTCTGTGCAGACAAAGACAGTGTTGTCTGCTGAACTTGAGCGTTGCGAGGACAAGCTTTGGGTCAGCGTCTCATGGAATGCCTTGAAAATCAGGGAGGGGACTGTTCACAAGTGCTTCTGTGCCCTCTGTAGTTTTTAGTTTTTATTTTACCACTTCTTTGTTTTGTAGCTCGTCCTAATGAGTCATCATAAGATAAAGAGCCTCGGTGATCCTGCGTTAGACATTAGAAGGAATGCAACTATAAATTCTAGCAAATTTTAAACGTTTCAATATTAAAAGTGTGTGATGTTAAATTCGTTTTTGATTTGGTCAAACATTACATCTTGAACACACCCTCTGTGTCTTTTTCCCAGTCCCACTCCAGAATATTGTCCTGATTTTACTCACTGGAATAAAACATTATACGGAGAAAAAAAAAAAAAAAACTTTTGATGGATGTTATACTGTCTACAACCCTAATACTGAAAAAACTGGGACGTTGTGTAAAATACAAATTTCATAATGTTCATAAAGTGTTTTCATAATGGAACACAGTAAAAATATCAAAAGTTCAAACTATAAAACCACATTAAAAAGAGTAATTTTGAATTTGACGGCAGCACCACATCTTGAAAATGTTAAGGGATAGGAGCAACTAAAGGCTGTGAAAGTAAGTGGTGTGAAAAAAGAACAATTTGAGGAAAACGTTGAAGCTAATTAGAATAACAGCTCAGTACACCGAGTATAAAACGAAGCATTTTAGAGACTGAATTTCTCAGACGTAAAGATGGGCAGAAGTTTACCAGTTTGCAAAGAAAAAAAAGTTTTAAAATACTGGCTTAATTCCAGTATAATATTCAATATCAAAGTGGGGAGACTGAATATCGAATCATCTAAAGTTGATAATATCAAAAGATTTCAAGGATGTCTACAAATCTCTGTGGTCAAAGGACAAAGCTGAAAGTCAGTACTGGAGGCCCTTCAGCTATGGGCCCTCGTGTCTTGGTGAGCCTGTGATCGGAAGGTTGCTGGTTCAACACCCTGGACTGACATCATCAAAATGTGGGTGGGAAAGGTGAAGCAACCACACCTGTCTCCTTGTTTGCCCCACTCTGAGCCTTAACCCCCACCATCTGCCCCACCGGGCGCCCTAAATAGCAGCTCTATGTTCCCCACAGAGGGCTGTGGTAGCTCGGTGGTCTGCGGTTGCGTCAGGAAGGGCATCCTGCATAAAAATTATTGCCAAGACTTTGTGCGAGTTAGTTCGCTACACCCCCTGAGGAAGGGAGCAGCCGAAAGAAGAAGAAAAAAAAAGAAAAATTGTTTTATGGACACCATGGGCTTGGGAACACTCACAAGTATTATTCTCTGTAATTCAATTCTGGTTAAAGCTCTATCGTGCAAAGAGGAAGCTATGGCAAACCACATTCAGAAACGCTGCACTCTTCTCTGAACTAAAGCTCAATTAAAACTGACAGAAGCAACGTGAAAAAACTGTTCTGTGATCAGACATCCTGCTAAAAACACAGTTCAAAAGCCTGCCTCTCTGATGGTATAGGAGTTCATTACTGTATATGACATAAACAGCCTGTACATCTGGAATGGAACCATCAACGCTGAAAGATTTTAGAACATCAGCTCACATCAAGACAACACCTTTTTAGGGAACACTTTACATATTTCAGCAAGACGACAGCATCTATTACAATGCCATGACTTTATAGTGTCCAGGTACTAAACTGGTCTGCCTGCAGTCCAGACCTCTCACCAATTTATAATATTTGGTGCAACAAAAAGCAAAGAATAGCTAAAGTAAGACATTAGACAGGAATGAGAAAACACTCTCCTCCAAAAACTCCAGCAGCTTCTCTCTTCAGCTCATGGATGTTTACACTGTCGTTAGAAGAGGAGATGCTTCACAGAAGAAACTTGGAGCTGGAATACAATTCAAACTCACCTTATTTTTCTCGCCCACAAAAAAGAACATTATTTTAGTTTACACCAATTATGTATTTACTATATTCCACTGTGCATAAAATATGGGTTTTTGAGTGTTACAAATCACTGCTTTTTGTATTTATTTGCATTAAAAAAAAACACATTTTACAGAACTGAAGTTGTACGTTGGTTTACATAAATAAATAAACAAGCATGCAGATACAGTTAAACTGAGCTGTAATCTGTTGGGGTTTTGTCACTTGTGGGACTTAAAATGTGTTTTTTTTTTTTCTGCCTGTTTCCAAAAAAGTTTTAACAAGAGTCTTTATACAGTCTTTGCAGTCAGAGGGTCAGTGTAGCCAGGAGCATGCACATCATGCAGGCACCACTGACTCACTTATTATTCGTTTGACCTGCTGCAACCTTTGTTTTAAACGGAGAATCAGTCATTTCCGGAAGTGTGTAAGGCTGGATGTGATGATGCGTTCAGGGTTCGGTGGGACGGTGAGAGCACCAGGACAGGCCTGTGGGAGGGGCCGCCTGAACACTGACAGCCCCTCTGTGGCACTCTGCACCTTCCACACCGAGGACTCAGCTCTTAGGGAACATCCTCATGGAGGGCCGTCTCACCTGCGGACTGTGGCTGCTCACCTGGCTGCTGGGATGTGGGCGACTCTCTGCTTTCAACCTGGACACCGAGAATGTGCTGAGGAAGGACGGGGACCCGGGGAGTCTGTTCGGCTTCTCTCTGGCCATGCACCGGCAGCTTCGCCCTGAGGACAAGAGAATGTAAGTTTGGCTTGAATGGTGTTTAATTATCCTTTAAGGCGTCCAAGCCTAAACACAGTCTTTGTTTTTAAATAACTCCAGTATCCATGCAATTAAAATGCCACACAGAGGACACGACTGTGTGAATTTATCTGAGCTTCTGCAGGAGGAATGAAAACTTTTTTGGTAGTCTCAGGGATTACGTAATTTCAGCTCAGGTATGTCGCAAGTAGTTAAAGAGTTTTTCTCATATTTAATTCTATTTAAATGAACGAAATCCTAACACTAATGTAGTAACAGTACCTTTGCTATCAGTGTAGCACCCATCTTTTTGACGCTTGTTAATCTTTCCCTCGGGGTTACTTATTTGCGAGTTTTTATTGGACCCCAGAGGCGGTTTTACTGCGCATGCGCACGATGCGCGGTAATAATCCCCACTCTTTTGTTCTTTTGCCGACGTTTACTTTGTTAAGAGTAGCACTTTTAGTTTTAGAAACAAAAAGATTGTTGCCATTGGTGTGGTTTTCTGGAACAGTCTTTAAATGACCATAAAGCACCTGCTAGGTGGGCTATTCAATTGGCGGTCCGTGGGCCACTTCCGGCCCGCGGGTGATTTTATTCCAGCCCATCAATGAGTTCATAAAAAAACAAAAAAAAAAAAACTATTTTTTTCTTTTTTGGGTTCTGGGTTCCGTTTATTGCGTTAATGATTCATTCAATAAAACAAACAATTTTAAAAGGTAACAGATCATTGTAATACTTCCTGATGCATGCTCAATAATCCAGGTAGAAAAATCTAAAAAAGTTAAATCTGTTCCTCTGGACATTCATTCATTTTGAATGTCCAGAGGAACAGATTTAACTTTTTTAGATTGTAATACTTGTTTTATTTACATAATGACTTTTTAATTGCTGGATGTCCAGCCCCTGAGCTGCTGGCTTTCAGAAACTGTGACC